ATTTCACTTTCCAAGCTGCACATGTGCAACTAGATTGCTAAACTTGTCCACTTCTGGGAACCTGGGCGTGAAAGGCTCCCAGTCCCCTTGTTGGGGCTCTGAGGCGACAGAGGGGTGGCAGACCAGGGGCTCTGGAACCAGTGGCCTCTCTGTACCTCTTGCCTGCCCTCAGTGCCAGGCAGTCACCTAGAGATGCTCACCTGAGGCCCTGCACCCGGCCTTCACCGAGGGCCCTCTGCAACCCGGGCCCTTCCCTTCCAGCCTCTTCCACCGACCATCACACTTGATCTGTCCTACGTTGCCTACCTGGGGGCTCTGCTAGATGTACAAATTCAAGCAGCGAAATGAGGTCTCAGGGAGATGTAATGTTCACCGTGCTTTAATGTGTTACCAATAATGTTTCAGACTCTTCATGCATCTCTTGATGATCAGTGGAGGAGTCATCAGCAGTGGACATGTGAGCTCTGTGTAGGCCTGAGACAGTGTTTGGCTCACTTGACCGATCTTACCTGTGAATTTGAAAAGCCCTTCTAAGGAGCAGTGGACTGGGGTTGGTAAATGGACACGTGAAAGATGGATCGTATCGATGAAACTGGAAAAGCAGGATGCCATAAAGTAACTTGGGTGTGGAAGGTCATGTTCATCTTTTGTAAGTTGGCTACTTGCCACTAGCAGAAACTCCTGAATTAGTGGCTAAAGGTGGTGAGAATTGTGTGGTCCAAGTGCTTATTAGTGTCAAACAAGCAAAGCCCCAAAATGTAAAGCAACAAAATGAGCAGCATTTAGCAGAAAAAGGAGGTTTGAGGCTTGCTGAGGCACCTGACTCATCAAACTGCATTAGCCTCTGCTAATCCCTCAGGGGCCCTAGGGTGACTCTCCCATGTTTGACATTCATGAATGTTCCTGAAACCCCCATAGTTGAGCTGTCCCCTCTGGTGCCTGTGGCAGCTGCTGACCACTGAAGAGCACCAGTGGGTGTTGTAGATGTTTAACCACCCATCGTATGATAAAGCTGGAAGCAGACCTGCTGGAGGAGGAGTCTGTCCCCACAATCAGATTGCTGAGCCATCTGGTGCTGCAGCTGACCTGGAAATGCATCCAGTGAATTTCAGCCCCGAGTTACAGCTGGTGTGAGGGAATCTCGAAGACAGGTGGTTCCCTTAACAGCTGTACCTTCGATTAGAGTAGGCAAGAAAGAAAATTCTATCCTTCTTGAACCTTCATGGATCTTCTGGGATCTGTAGTAGCTCCCTGAACTTTTTCCATGGTAATTACCATATCAAGGCAAATAATGATATTTCTCCCTTCCTTTGTTGAAATAATCTCTGTGAGTCAATGAATAGAAAATTTTAAGTGAGCTTATCAAGTGATATATGGATAAAAATTTTTTTAAAAAGACTATGGTTTCTAGAGAGTGCTCACAGAAACAAGTCTTTAACACATTTTTTATGCTGGAAGTATACAGACTGAAGTTCCATCGGGGAAGAAATACAGATTGCTGCATTTAAGGGAACTATTTAAATTTATAATTCTGTATTTACCCTGCAAATTTTAAGATAATTTAATCAAACACTGTTTTTATCAAGTGGATTGCTTTGCATGCTGAATGAAGTGCTAGACATTTTTAGCCCAAGAAAGATAAAGAAATAACTTTTGACTTTTGACCTAAAAAATTTGTTCTGAATGAAACACTTTGCCTTTATGCCCATATAATTTGGGGAGGATTTTAGGCAGACCTGGTTTTTATTCACTGACCTGGAAGTGATGAAGCTAAAGTAGCTAAGGTACAGAGGAAGTTAGATATTTTCCCAAGTCACTCAGGATCCAAATGTATGAAACCAAAGGGAAGAGCCTTGGGGTGATACTCCAAATTGTGTCATCTTCCCCATCACCCTCACCTTTCTGCACATTGTTCACTGCATGATGGGGCCCAGTGGAGGCTGCAAGTTGGAGCAGAAACTCAGCCTGTGCGCTGCTCTCCAGGCCACGGGCTGTGCCCACCTGGAGCTGGGACACCTTCTTCAAAGGTGCCTAGTTGGGTGCTGAGGTGTTGGGTTGGGTCCAGTGAGTAGTGAGGGAAGCGTATCACCAATGTTATGCCAGGGCTTCTTCAATGCATTGCAATCAGAACAAGAGCTGATCTTGGCAGCATTAAAAAAAAACAAAACAAACAAAAAAAACCAGCAACCATTGTTTACATGGGCATGGAGTGAGAGTTAAGAGCTGTGCAGAGTTTGGAGAGGACCAACATCATGAACGCCCAGTTTCACCTTGTCAGTCAGACAGGCAGGGAAGGCCCCCGATTAAACTGGACAGAGTTTGAGATTTGAGGCATCCTCCCATCTCCCCTTCTGTACGTTAGGCTCCTCTCTCCATTTCCTTTTCCCCTTAGTCCCCATCCTGCACTGCTCAGACCTCAGCTTCCAACGTGCCTTTTCTCAAAAACCACCTTCCATCCTAAGAACTTTGTTCAAGAGGAAAACACTTTAGCCAAATTTATAATAAAGATGTTAATAGCTAGGAATGGTGGAACATTACCACCCTCAAGGGCACCCTATTAATACTTAAAAAGAAATGAATTGTTCTTCCCAGTGGGTTTGGGGCAGTGGGAAATGGCCGGCATTCTGTTTGGTGTTTAAGGCAGGCCAGCTTGCTTTATTCCTGAGCTCACTGCTTACTGGTCAGCGCTCTTCAGGTTGGCCAAGCATACAAGTTTCCTTCAGTTTCCATCATCTTTGCTCCTGTGCTTTTATCTTAGCATCATGTTTAGTTCTCCATTTCTACCTCCTGTTACTTCTTTAGACCGATTTAAATGCTTCATCCTTAGCTCTGAGCATGGCCAGACTGGCTTTGTTTTACATATTCCTTAACTTTCTCCTTCCCAGGCAAACTACTACTATCCTGTAACTTCTATCCCAGCCCTAATTTTTTTTTCAAGTTTCACACTTCCAAAACCCACCTGCTTGAAAGTATCAGATTCTGCCTCTTTCTGAAGCTTTGATTGTTAAAGGGAAAATTCAGAGCCTTCCCTCTTGCATCCTTATCTGGCATCTAACTCTGTAAGCCAGGACCGGGAGAGAACTTAATGAGAGTCTGGTTGTTAGAAGCTTTCAGAAGGCAATGGTGGGACTTTTCTCTGCTTTTCTTTCTATGCCAAGCCTAGCAAAGTATAGCTGCTAGTTTTTCTTCTTAGAACGATTACGATAGGTACTGGAAGCTGGGACTTGACTTTGCTGCATTATTATTCCTTGATCTACAGCCATTCCTATAGCTTTTCTTGGGTTTACCTAATGCCAGAGAAACTAAAACCACTCGTTAAATGGATTAGTCCAGTAAAAAATACACCCTCGGGCAGCATGGCTAAATGAACCCTGGTCAGAGAAGTCCAAATAGCTGAAATGAAAGCTCATATAAATATGGTCAGTCTGTCCACTTGTGATTCTTTAAAGAAACCTCCTAATTTCCCATTTCTTCTGTCATGCCAGTGGTATATATTAAGTGTTTCATTTCTCTCAATGCCTGTATTTTTAAATGCCAGGAAGCTATGCTCATACTCTATTTTGTCTTCAAGGTAAAAGGTTTTGCATATTTAATCTCAATGGATTCCAATGAAATCAAACATATGACAGATTTCCAAATCTCTTTCCAAACGAGGAGGAGGCATCTTTCATGCATTTAGGGATGCTATCTGAACAGTATTGTACTTTTATTTCCCCCTCTGCCTTTGAATGAGTATTTGTTTTGAAAAATCAGAATAACAACTTAGCATTCTAAAGATGGCCAGTGGTGCCAGCTCCCTGCCCTCCAACTGTGCCTTTTTCCTTCTTGGTCTTATTTTATCACCCCCCCCACACACACACACACACACAAATAGAACAACCAGTGTTGATGCCTAAGGGTCATGTATGTGTCTCTCCTGTTGCTTGCTGTCCTTGCCGTCTCTGTCTGGCTCCATGAATTAGGATCCTATAGTGAAGGGGGTAAAATACGTACTGTCTTGGTGACTGCGTCTTTCCACCTTTTTTTCCTCAGCCCAAAGACAGACCATGTCAAAGGCACATCTTATTTCTTTAAATGTTTAGTTTTTGTCCACATCCTTTGTCTAAGCCTGGTTGTGCTAAAAAAAAAAAACTGTGCTGATTAACAGATTGTTAACTGGAGTCTTTATCTGGTTTAACCAGATATGTTACCCAGTCTTTTTAGCTACATATTGAGGGAGGAGTCTGCCATCCTTCACAGCACAGAAGAAATGGTCCAAGGCTCTGACGCCATTTCTTTGGTGGAGGGAGCTGGCTGTGTAGAGGGTGGATGCCCACCTCTCCCGGAGGGGCATGCCTCCTGGACCCCATCAGCTCTGAGATAGGGAATCAAGAGGATGTGCCACAGCCAGGTTTAATCCGTGGGACAGAGTGTGCAGACACCTGTTTGGGCATGTGGCCAACTGTATTGGAACTTACTTGCTAACTGGTTAAAGTAGTCTATCATTCTGGTAAACAAATATTGAGTATGTCATGTATGGGACTTTGCATTATGTACTGTGGTGGAGATAAAATAGAGCATTATCCAGGCTTTTAAGAGGTTTATAATCCAGTTGTCTAAACCATTGAGTTTAGAAAGTGTTTTAAAAGTGTGTTGTCCTAGGGATACCCTTTAAGGAAATCATAGTTAATATTTCTGCTATTGTGATTAAACACTTTCCTTTGTACGGTCCTAGTACCAGCTCACCCCCCACCTCACACCCTCATTTCCAAAGGGCTGTGTTCCAGGTGGCTGTGCACAGAGCTATGAATTTATCTCAACACAGGTGAAGCTAATAAATATGATTCAGGATGAAAGGCACTGTGTAAATGCTTGGGATGTTGTTATTACTGTTCTCATGCGCTTTATTATTTTTAAATTGTGCATCCTTTTAAGTAGATTATTTGTTCACCACAGTCTCCATTATATCTAAGCAAAGCATTCACAGAAATTTCTAAAAACCTTTTCATTTCTCTCTGTAGGTTGTTGTTTCGTAACGTTTTATACAAGAAAAGCTGCACTTGAGGCCCAGAATGCACTGCACAATATTAAAACTTTACCTGGGGTGAGTCGGTTTACTTTTGTACCAAAATCACTTTATTGCTTGAAAATGGTCCTTTCAACTGAAGGTTCTTAGTTATGGGCTCTTAGTGCCAAAAATGACTTTGGTTTTTTGAGGAGTGTGTGCTGACCTCTCTGCTCCCCTGCGGCAGCCAAACCAGCTGGCCGGCCCATAAAGAAGCACCCGCATTAATGCCGACGGAAAGAGCTCTCAAACCATGTATCCCCTGGTTAGAAAATCAGAGTGACCCCACTGGGTCACAGCGGCTGCCAAAGGGTATTGGGTGGGCTAAGACTTTAAAAGGGAGGAAAAAAAAACAGCTCACACAAGAGAAGCAAATGGAAAAGGAAAAGCTTTTACTCACCAGGAGCCCCTTTTCAAATTTAGTCTTCAGATTTTTCTTTTGAAAGAACAAAATGTACCCTGTACAGCTATAATATTAAACCTCATAATGGCTTCTAAGCAGTCAATGGTGGTTAACAAAGTCAATGTTTTAATGCCCTGTTTGCGGCTTCATGTTGATAGAGAACAGAAAATACAAAGCTTACTTTTTTTCCCCATTACCTTCCCAATAATATCTGAGAAGAGTATAATTCTCTAGAAATGAACTGGTTTATGTGACTGCTTTATGAGACTACATGATTTCTGGAGTTTGGGGGCAATTTTATATAGTGCATGCTAAGATGACTATTCCTATGCTGTTTGGATATGTCTCCCATTGATTTGAATATCAGTGCCGAGTTCATTGAATATCATAATGATGTGCATTGGTTATATGAAGAACCTGTGGTAAGTAGTGTATTGCTAATTATTTTATTGAAACCTGCTTTGGTAAGAATAGAAGAAATGTAACAAAAATGCCAGAATGCCCCTAATGTTTTCAGGGTGTAATTCTACCTTTGTGTCTCTTAGCTATCTCTGTAGATGTACCTACCACACGTCCGAATTTTATCCCCATCACACCCACAAGAGAAAGCATTTGTGTAATGCACCTTAGATCCATTGAAAAGCTTATGATATTTGTACTGGCAAGACTCAACAAAAGGTTTTCACAACATCAGCTCCTTAATCACCCAAAAATAATAAATTGTGAACCTTGGTCTTGAATCGCACCCCTTTGCTGTTCCCCTTTTCTTGTGAGCAAATCAAAGAGAAGATCCAGCAAGCGAGCATGTGGCCTGAGGATTCTCCCTCCCACTTTAATTAACTACTTCTCTCTGAAACTTATGAGGGGGATCTTAGTAGGTCTAAGTGACTTAAAAAGGAAAGTAGTACTTCAGCTTCCATTTTCCATGTATATGGGATTTTTTTCCCCAATGTAAATTCGAGGAGGTTGCAGTGTTATGTCATAATAGCGCAACCAAATCCCTTCTATGTATGTGTTGTTGTTTTTTAAAAATGCTTGAAATGTTGAGTGGTCATTTGGCATGTAGGGTATATTGATGCCAAATCACATTCTATTTTAAATTAACACAAACTTTGGTTAGTCTGCATTTGTCTCCATAGAAGCACAGCTCTCAAATGCCTTCTTTATTTATGAATGGGCTCTCAAGAAACCCAGAGTGAATATGGTGACTGAGCCATGTTGAAAATCACACAAGTGACCGATGAGCGTGCTTCTGTTTGGGACATCTTACTCTCTGACCCCTTTCTTAGCAAACCAATAGTATCTTCTGTATTTTAAAAGAATGGCACATATGTCTCTCTTTTTTTCTTTTCTTGAAACTACTGCATGTAGAAGTCAGGGATGGTGATTTTGGAGACTGCTATTAAAGACAATGATTCTGGGGTTGGAAAACATGGTTTGTGGCTTGTTTTTGGTTTTTCTTTTTATCCTGTTCGGTTTCGTATGCCCAATTACTTGAGGCGGGTTAAATGAAAATTTTGAGATGTCGGGTCTGATTTGTAGGCTCTTAGCCTTCGCAGCACGCACACTGCCGCCACACTTGCCATTTCCAATTAGGTAAATGGGAACAGAGTTCCCGGTCTTGCATTTAGTATAGCTTTACCTGATAAACATCACCCTTAACAGCTACAGGAAAAAACATGAAAGTGGTTTCTTTTCAGCTGTGAGCTTTTGGTGGGCAGGAAGAAATGGGACCAGACATAAAAGATTAATGCATATTCTTAGGGAAAAAATATTACAGGATGCCTTGCTGTTTGATTACAAGCCTTGGAATTAGTCAACATTTCCATAATTCTAAACCAATACACACCTGTTTCCCCACTGCGATGTGAAGGCACAACTTAATTTAACAGAACCCCTGCTGCGCTCGGTCTCTCATTAAATACCTAGGAGCTCAGTAATTTAAAGTTGTACCACTACTATTTTTACTGGTTGCCTTCCTATTATGAAATTAATAAGAAATTAATGATGCACTGTGCCATATGCCTTTAATATCTTTCCGAATAAAAATAAAAGGGATAAAGAAAAATGCATTACCAGCTGACACTTTAAAGCTTTCCTGCTGTAATCATTTTCCTGTGGATAAAATCCATTAAAAAGGCACTTGCTGCCTCCTTTTTTTTTTTTTTTTTTTTTTTTTAAGTGTCCAAAACATTCCATTTAAAACAAGATCAAAGGGTGCTAGGTGTTAGGGTTTTTTGTTTTATAATTTTTTTTATCTATTTTCTCTTGTAGTTGGTATTTTATATCATATGGAACCTCTGTCATGCAACCAAAATTAGGTGTTTAAGGATCATCTTTCTTTTCTTGCTGAGAGAGAGACAAAGAACTTGGTTGCTATGGGAGAGGTGAAAAAAAGCCAGCGGGTCTGTGTGTCATGCAGTGGACTGTGTCTGCTCTTAGATTTGTGTATACAGACACCCTTCCCCTCATGTCATACATGGCTATAGAGACCCTGTACAAGGAGGGTGCAGGGCACATGGTCCAGGTCAGGGCCGTACTCAGCAGTGCAAAGCCATTAGGGACCCATCTCTCAAGCCTGTCTTTTATCCTATGACTGAGAAGCTGAGCCTTACATCTTCTGAAATGTTCAACATGAATCCTAGAAATACAATATTAAAAATAAAGGGAGTAAATTCAGTAGCTCAACCCATAGAACAAGGAACGGGAGTCTGGGGATCATGTTCTCTTTCAGAAATGGCAGCTTGAAGTATGAGCAATAGATCAAATCTTATGTTTAGTGCCCTACTTATGACTGACATTTCATCAGATTAACAAATCACTAATGATATTGAGTGCCTACTGTGTACTAAGGGGACTAAGCAATTCTGATCTCTCTCTCTCTCATGCACACAAACACACACGCACACGCACACACATGCACACATACCCTTTAATTCCCTGAGCATCATGCTTCCATAGCCTGTAGAGCAAGAGTGCAACTGTGTCTGCACAGGCCATAGGCCGGGCTACTTGATGAGCCATTGAGTTTGATGCAAAATTGTTAGACTGACTCTTCCCTTAGCTGGGCCATTTGTGTTCTTGGACCAAGTTGAGTTGCCTCAGCTTTGACAGTAGGCCTTTGGCTTAGGGCTAGCTTCCTTTGTTTTAGAGTTTCAGGTAGGCACAACATAACTAGTGGGATCAATCAATAGAAATGTCATCATCTGCCATTGTATTTCCCAGAGAGAAATCCTTGGAAAGGCAACTTGCAAAATTTGTTTTGTTTACACTGACCTAATTTAGCTTAATTAAAAAATAAAATGAAGACCTTAATTGCAGCACAGAGCAACTACCACAATCTTTTCAATAATCAGATGTCAGGGCCAGATATTCCTGTGCCAGGGACGGCTCTGCGCCTGTGTCATTCTTTTTCAAGGTCCTAACACACATTGTCTCTAGCAATAAGGCGTTTTGATTGAAAATCTACAGCAGTATCATTAGAGCATTCACTGTATAAATTAATTTAATTAAGGATGTAATAACAGAGAGGAATACAGTTTTGGAAAAAGCTCTTAAATTTTAACAGCAAGAAGGAATTGGTGGAATCTAAATGTCTTGTAAAATATTAATTGCAAATTTCTTCCAGACATTTTCTCTGAATATGCCTTACTCCGTTCCCTCTTAGAGCCACTACGAGTTTTATTAAATGCAGTTTATATTAAGGAGTTATTGCCGTAGGAGAACATGTGTTTGGAGCACTCCATTTGGGCGGTGGCATACCAAAAGGTGTTTTATAATAACATATGAGACATGAGCACCAACTGAAAATAGATTTGAGATATAAAAACAAATGAGCCTGGTCCAGGGGAAGAAGCGGTAAATAAAACAGCCTCTTGGGACAAGTGTGTTCATCCTCACAAAGTGAACGAACCTCTTCCTGGCGTGCCCTGAAGAGATGACTTACCTGTGGGGGTGGGCGCTTTCCTCCCGGGAGGACTTTAACTCCACGCCCCATAGAATCGTCCCCTGTGCCCTTCAACGGGCTTGACTATCCTTTCACCAGGAGACCAAAGTCAGTATCTACAGTAATGCATTTTGACATTGTCGCTTACTTTGAGCCACCTCTTCTAATTATTAATATGTATTTAATGACTTTATTCTCAGAGTCGTGATGGTATTATTTTATCATTATCATTGTCTTCTATTTCTGTCATTAGATCTATAAAACTTCATGTCATCATTATCATGGAAATTTCCCCAAAAAACATCCTATTTGAATCAAAGCCTAACTAGGTCAAGCTAGAGAAAGTGTTTTCTCAGATGCTTTTTATTTAAAACTAGAAGCCCAGCGCATGAAATCATGCAGCCCTACCCACCAACACACCTTGCCATGCTCACAGCCCCGCCCAACCACATGTGCCCTGCCCACCCACCCACTGCCCCACCACGCTGCTGCCCCAGGATCTCAGAGTTCCTCCCACTGTGGAACCCAGAGTCCCTCCCGCCACCATTGATGGGACTCATCAATGCACCTCCTGGTGACCAGTTTTTTGTTTGTTACAGAGTTACAGCATTACAGCCACAGGCTTTTTATAATATAGATTGTTATGAAAAACAGCCAAAACATTTCTCTGGACAAACAGGTTTAAGTCCT